ACAATATTAAAAAAAAACAAAAAATTTAAGAAAAACGTATGAAGTTCGCTTTAAAAATAAGGTCCTTTTTTTTGCAAGGTTATAGTGGGTTATAAAATGAAAATTAAGGAGTAATAGAAGAATAATAGAAGACTTTAAAAAAAGAAAAGAGAAAAAAATTTTTTATTAAAAAAATAATAATAGTAAAAATATCTAGGAATTTCTCTGGAGCTGTTGTGGGCAGTGTGTGTTCGGTTCAGTTTCAGATAGCTCCTTTTTCCAGCTTATACTTCTCAATATCTATAGGCTTCTTCCAGTGCAGTCGTTGTTAACTACAGGGATTTTAATCTGTTGCACCTGTCACTTCTAAAGCGGTTCCCTTTGTTTATTTGGCTTCTGTTTGCAGGTCTCTACAGTGTCTAATTTCCGCCCTGACACAAGGGGGCGGAGGTGGTCTCTTGTTTAGTTTCACTTGTTCAGTCGTGCTGTGGGGAGGGAGGGGCACTGTAGACAAATATCACTGGCGTGTGTGGGGAGCACTCACAGTGTTTCAGCCACACTGGGTTTGCCCCCGCTCACGGCATGTGTGCTTTTCCCATCTACACTGCTCAGGCTCCAGGCTGCTCTACATGAGCGGGCCCTGAGCTGTGTGCACTTCCCAGGTCTAAGCCGCTCAAGTTCAGATTTTTAGGTATTCCACAAAGGCACAGGCTTGGTTGGGCCTGCGTTTTGTCTCTTCCCTGGCCAGAGCAGCTCAGACAACCAGCAGTTTGATGAACACCCTCTCTCCAAGTGCAGTGCGCCTTATCCCCTCCGTGGTCCCAGCCTCAGTTTCTGGTGCGCTGGTCCGGTGCATGTTGTGTCTCTTCTGGGGTGCTGATCTCTGACTGTGACCCTCCTGGCAGATGTCAACCATCCAGAATCTCAGGAAGTCTTTGGTTAGAGACTGGAGGCCTGTTTGCAGTTTGGTAGGGGATGCCGTCTCTGGGACCGAGTTTGCCCCTTTCCCCTCCCCACTGCCTCCTGCCTCCGGCGGGGGATGGGCCGGTCCTCAGCTGTCTAGCTCTTCTTTGATATTCGCTCCGTCCTTTGTTCTGGGAACTGGCGGGTAGTGCCTTAGTTTAGGGCTTTTTGCAGGTTAGTTCTCTCTCTCTTGCTATCCCACAGTTTAAGTTGCTATCTCACATTAGCTCCCTCCGATTGCCCTCAGGGCTTTCAGGCCTGGTCCTTACCCTAAGCAATGCTGCCTCCTCTTCTCCATTCAGCTCCCACTTGCTGGTGGCAGATGTGAGCGCCTGGGGTACTTTTCTGCTGGGAGTTGCTTTTAGGCATGTAATCTGTGGGTTTTATTTATTTTTCCTCCCAGTTAGGTTGCCCTCTGAGATTCAAAAACTTCCCCCAGACCTGCTGGTGAGAGGGTTTCTTGGTGTTTGGAAACTTCCTCTATTAAGACTCCTTTCCCGGGAGAGGTCTCCATCCCTAACTCATTTGTCTCTCTTTTTATCTTTTTTTTTCAAATAACTTTTTTTATTTTTTAATTTATTTATTTTTTTCATTTATTTTTATTAGTTGGAGGCTAATTACAATATTGTAGGGGTTTTTGTCTCTCTTTTTATCTTTTATATTTTGTCCTACCTCCTTTTGAAGACAATGGACTGCTTTTCTGGGTGCCTGATGCCCTCTGCTGGTGATTAGAAGTTGTTTTGTGGAGTTTGCTGAGCGTTCAAATGATCTTTTGATGAATTTGTGGGGGAGAAAGTGGTTCCTCGTTCTATTCCTCTGCCATCTTAGCTCCTCCCCCCAACTTGTCTCTTTTTTAAGACTGCCTTCCCGGGATGGATCTCCTTCCCTATCTCTTTTGTCTCTCTTTTTATCTTTTATATTTTGTCCTATCTCCTTTCGAAGACAATGGGCTGCCTTTCTGGGTGTCTGATGTCCTCTGCCAGCAATCAAAAGTTGTTCTGTGGAATTTGCTTGGCATTCAAATGTTCTTTCGATGAATTTGTGGTGGAGAAAGTGGTCTCCATGTCCTATTCCTCTGCCACCTTAGGACCGCCCCCTACTTTATAGTTTTCAATGTATAAGTCTTTAATCTCCTTACGTTTACTCCCAATTATTTCACTCTCTTTGATCCTATTATAAATAAGAATATTGGAACTTCTCTGGTGGTCCACTTGCTAAGACTCCACACTCCCAGTGTGGAGAACTTGGGGTCAATTCCATGTTAGGGAACAAGATCCCACATGCCACAACAAAGACCTGGCACAAATAAATATATAAAAATAATTTTTAAAAAATTCAAACTTAGCTCTTGACTACAGCTTTAAAAAATAAATAGGATTGTTTTCTTATTATCCTTTCTGGAATATTCATTGTTCATGCATGGAAAGGTATTGAATATTGACTCTGTACTGTGCAACTTTCTGTGCAGGTTGTTTTTGCCTGTGGAATCTTAAAGATTTTCTGCAAGTAAAATCATGTCCTCTGTGAACAGACATAGTTTTACTTCTTTCTTTCCAAATGGAAGTCCTTGGTTTCCTTTAAATATTATGTTGAATAGAAGTGTTGAGAATGGGCATCCTTGCCTTCTTTTCCTTGATCTTAGAAGTTTTCAGATTTTCACTGATGACTGTGATGTTAGAGATTGACTTTTCATATGACTTTTATTATACTGCAGTCACTTCCTTCTATTTCTACTTTGTGGAATATATTTTTCATGAAAGGCTAGTGAATTTATTAGATACTTTATGGACCTCAGATGAAGCACAAATGGAGTTTTTTTTTTAATTTTAAGAAAATTTTGTAATGCTCCCAGTGGAAGCATAGGAGTTGATGATACAGAAATCAGTTTCCATTTCTCCTTTGCTAAATCCTTGTCCTTGTCACTCTCTGGCTCAGAATTCTGTGTCCTTAATTAGAATGCCCAGAGGTTGGAAACATTTACCAACCAAAACACTGTTTCTCATCATTTTCTAGGTAAACCTTCTAGGATGGCCCTCAGAGTGCGGCACAGTAAACGCCAGAAAGTGAGTATTTCCCAAATCCTGTTGACAAAAAAATCCTTCTCATGGATCCAGTCACAGGTGAGAATAGCAGAAAACAGAGATCCTGGAGACTACTGCCTTCTTGTCCTGAATCTTTAGCACAATGTCTGATATCATTACCATCTTTATAGTTAGTAAGAATAGCAACAACAGTAGGCTGTTCTATTTGTTACATTATTTTCACAATATTTCAGACTTTAAGCATTTTATGTGAATAAACTTACTGAAACCTTAAAACAATCCTACAGTACCTATAAGTAGGTACATAGCTATCACCATTATAGATCAAGAAACTGAGGTTAAAAAAAATGTTTGATTATGTATCATTGGTAGTACAATCTAGTCCAAAGGACCTTCTCTAAAACCCTTATAATCTGGTTAAAACTTTCATAGCTTAATAAAGTTTATTCATACATCTTTATATAATTCATCTGAAAGATGTTTTCAACCTCAGTTTTTTTGTTCTGTGCTAGTGATGGTGGACTCCGGCAGTTGGTGATGGACAGGGAGGCCTGGTGTGCTGCAGTTCATGAGGTCGCAAAGAGTCAGACACGACTGAGCGACTGAACTGAGTGAGGGATATGCTAAGACATCTGACTAAGGGAAGCCTTAGGACATGTTGGGCAGTTTGTAGAGTGGGCAGTCCAAGATGAAGAAGCTTAAGGATATGTTGGGCAGTTTGTAGAGTGGACGCTCCAAGATGAAGAAGCTTAAGGACATGCTGGGCAGTTTGTAGGGTGGACAGTACAAGATGAAGAAGCTTAAGGACATGTTGGGAAGTTTGTAGAGTAGATGGTCCAAGATGAAGAAGGTGACAGACATGATCCCTATCTCAGAGCCTCCCACTCCAATAAGAGGAAGCGACTCGCAACCATGACAAACCTCAGGTTTATGACTCAAAAACAATAAATAAGAAAATAACTGAGGGACTTCACACAGGTTACCTGATTTTGAGTAGAAACGCATCATCTGGACATGATTTCAAACACTCATTCTTGTAGGAGGAAGTAACAAGGCCTTCCTCTGAGCTTTGATTGGGCAACTAACTCTCTTGTTTGGAATCATTTGTTTAGCTTGCCCCTGTGTTGTGAGCTTTGAGAGTCTAGCCCATACCCATTAATTCTCAGAAGTCGAGGCTCAGCTCAAAGCCCTTGAGGGCCCCGTGAATGTTTTGTGAATGACTGACTCCACATTTAAACATTCATCTAGGAATAAGAAGGTCAAGGAATGCTGAAGATAGTATTTGTGAGCTAGACTTCAATTATAGAGGCAGTTGAGGGGATATATTGATGGCAAGGGTGTATGCTCAAATTCATACTCTATTAAATAGCGCACACAATGATTTATTGAAAGTTATTAAATTTTGTGTCCACTGTAACATTGAGAATTAGAATGTATACCTATTTATGGATCAGGAAACTGAGGAGAACCAGCTCGTCATATAGCCTTCTTCAAGCAGGATTGATGAGACCAGCTACTTTAATTCAAACATTGTTTCTAAGACATGGCAACCTGCAATGTTCAGCTCATTTTCTTTATTGTCTAAATGTGCTTCTGCCGATAGTCTTTTCTCTTCTCAATCTCACTGCTTTGTTACATTACTTTCCAGATGTGTTTTGTCCCCTCTGTAATTTTTCATACTTATTTGACCATCAAAGATCCACTAATTAATAGAAAAAACCCAGGATTTCTCTATGAGCCCTTACCCTCTTCTTTCCCTGACCTCCAGCTATGCTCCCTGCCTTGCTCTTACTTTTACACAGAATGTTGAAGGGGAAGAACCTTAAGATATGAATTCTAGTTTTGATTCATTACCCACTTAGGTCCTTGTTTTACACCCCAGTGTTCAGACCTCCCCTCCACCAGGTATTTCCAAGAATTGTCAAAGTATTAACTAAAGTCATGCATGTGAAAACATTTCATACAGTCCTAAAGAACTAAAGAAATGCATGTTGTCTTTTACTCACATGGAAGGGAATGTCCCGGGGACCATTAAGTAAGGTGTCCAGTTTGAAGAAATTGCCGGTAGCGGAAAAATTGTTGAAGAAAAGTGGCTCCAAGTGGGCTCAGAAACCAGTGTACACTCTCCGAGAAACAAGGACCCCTGGACAACACTCCAGACAAAAAGTCGGTAAGAGAAAATTTGGGGAGTTGCTCTAATTAGTTCCTCTAATCCCTGTAGAAAAGGTAACAAGTATAGCCTAGGTGTGTGGTGTGGACTTTGGGTAGGCATGGGTTTAAGGTGGACTGGTCTGAGACATGAAGTTAGCAGTGGGGCCTGAGGAAAATCTTATACATTTTCTGAGGTCCTGATTGTTCATCTGTAAAGTGAAGATAAGGATACATAACTCATACAGTGTTTGAAAGCATTACATTAAATGCAAAACTGCTGACACATACAAGTGGTTCAATAAATCCAGCTGTGATAATAGGTACCATGCTTTGTTAGTGTTTATGCCCAGACCTCTGCTCAATGCCTCATGTGTCATGTGCCCTTACCATTTATTTTCTGAGTAGATGTGTCAGTGAGCTGTTTCCTAAGTAAGAAGTTTGGGAATTAAAAGCTACTAACAGGAAGTACAGGAAGCTAACACTGAACTGGGCATCTGTGTAGCCTCAGTCTCCTGAACCAGTATTTAAAGACAGAACAAACAAAGTATAGAGAAGGGTTTTCCTGGTGGTTAAGTGGTTAACACTCCATGCTTCCACTGCAGGAGGTGTGGGTTCCATTCCTTATCAGGGAACTAAGGTCCCACAAGTCATGCAGCGTGGCCAATAAATAAATAATGTAACATCAAACAAAAAAATACAAAAGTAAAAGTTTGAAAAATAAATGGAAAAAAAGGTTTTGACAAAGTGTATAAATGGACAAGTATGAGATCTCACAGTTTCTGATAAAACCATGAGTAACTCTCCATACCCCACCAGCCTTGCTTAGCTTCTGTTTTCCATCTTAGAACTCAGAGAAAAGGAGACTGGAGTGAAGAGGTACAGTCTACGGGAAAGAAAGGACCATGTGTACCAAGAGGTCAGCGAGCCTGAGGATGATGACTACCTCTGTGAGTGACCCCACTGGCCCACTCACGTAGAAGGGGTTATGAGGCCTTGATGCAATAAACTTACTTCACCATTTGGTTCCCCAATCATCCCCTTCTTCTATGACTTGGGGTACAGGATTGAGGCCAAATTCTGTGAGTGCCCCCATTCTTTCTGAAGGTCTTTATGACCACCAACATCACTATACCTCATGCCTGTTGCTCTTATCTCCAGATTGCCAGGAATGTCAGGACTTCTTCATTGACAGATGTGCTGCCCACGGCCCCCCAACCTTTGTAAAAGACACTGCAGTTGAAAAGGGGCATGCCAACCGCTCAGCACTTACTTTGCCCCCTGGGTTAAGTATCAGACTGTCAGGCATCCCTGAGGCTGGACTTGGAGTATGGAATGAGGCATCCAATCTGCCTCTAGGCCTGCACTTTGGTCCCTACGAAGGCCAGGTCACAGAAGATGAAGAGGCCGCCCACAGTGGATATTCCTGGATGGTGAGAAATAACCCTCTTTCCCTGTCCTCTGGCCGCTAATCACTTGTGTGTGGTGGGGGGTACTTCATATCTACATGCAAGGACGTGGATGGTGATGACATGGTCGGCAGTGACACAGTCAGCCCTGTGTACTGTGTGCACTGGGCATGAACACAGATTCAGTTCAGTTTAGTTGCTAGTCATGTCCGACTCTGCGACCCCATGAACCACAGCACGCCAGGCCTCCCTGTCCATCACCAACTGCCGGGGTCTACCCAAACCCATGTCCATTGAGTCGGTGATGCAATCCAACAATCTCATCCTCTGTTGTCCATTCTCCTCCTGCCCTCAATCTTTCCCAGCATCAGGGTCTTTCCAAAAGAGTCAGCTCTTTGCATCAGGTGGTCAAAATATTGGAGTTTCAGCTTCAACATCAGTCTTTCCAATGAACACCAAGGACTGATCTCCTTTAGGATGGACTGGTTGGATCTCCTTGCAGTCCAATGGATTCTCAAGAGTCTTCTCCAACACCACAGTTCAAAAGCATGACTTCTTCTGCACTCAGCTTTCTGTATAGTCCAACTCTCACATCCATACATGACTACTGGACTACATGAACACAGGACTTCTATCTAAAGATCAGAAGAGAAGTGGGAGACAGTGGTACAGGCATAGAGAAGTGACTCCTCCCTTGTGGAGCCCTTGCCTTCAATGTGCCAATAGACTCAGACTTAAAATTATGATTAAGGAGCTTACCATGTAGTATGACTGGCAGCTGAATCCATGCAGGCTGAGGAACAGAATGACAGCAGAGGGAAATAGTTCTTCTATCACTTCCACCAACAAAATAAATAAATAAATAAAAGAGAGACGAAAGCTTGTATCTCTTTTCTGACACTCAGATCACCAAAGGAAGAAACAGCTACGAATATGTGGATGGGAAGGACACGTCTTTGGCCAATTGGATGAGGTGAGTGCAGTGAGTCTGCAGTTTCTAGACATCACTCCTCCTTCAAGCCCTTCCTTCTGAACCCGTCTCCTTCAATAGCTTTCACATCTTCTTTTCTCTTTTCCCTCCATATCATGCTCTTTCATTTCAAAATACATTAGAAAGAAAGAAAGAAAAACATAGCATGTGCCCTCAAAATATAAGTCTATATGCTCAAAAAAACTGAGGTGTTTGAAAACAACTTGTGGAGTCTAGAATCACCAGGGACACTTTAACTCACTTAGTTGATACTTACCTAGCACCTTATGTCCCAGGTTAGACAGTGAACTTCATTATTGAAGCAGATCACACAACCCATGTCCTTTTGGAGAAAATACTGAAGACAGGCATGAACCAGTTGATGTTAGGGATAGTATCCTTAATTTTTCTGTTTTTGAATAACTGCACAGCACCAGGATAACCTAACATGGGAGACTTTGAGTCCATGTGGGCAACAACCTCCCTAGGCTTGGTTGCAGTGAGAAGTGGGCCCTGAGGCCTGGGAAGGAATGTGGGGCAAGATGGCTGTGAGCATGCCCCTTCTCTGAGGGCCTCTCCTTTCATCAGGGCAGGCAGAAAGTGAATAAACTTTTACTGTTGTGTGTCTCAAGCTATGTCAGAACACTCTCCAAGTTTCCATGGGAGGGGGTGGGCAAGTGAATTGGACCCTGGATACACATGGGGAGATTGGAAAAAAGCTTTGGGAGAAAAAAGCAGGTTGGGGTGAGTGCTGGGGGGTGCATGCTAGCCTAAGAGCACCAAGTCCTGTGGAATGAAAGAGAACTTAATTCAGAGCTTAGAGGAGCTGGAGGTCACCAGTCTTATAGATAGTCCAGATGGACACAAGTCTGGAACTGGGCTCTGTACAATGGCTAATTAGGTAAGGAGAGAAGAGCATTCCAGCCAGGAAGAGGATCGGAAACAGGATCTGGACATAAGAATTCACATGCCATGGTCAAAGGTGTGAATAGATGGCCCCCATGAGGGGCGGTAGGAGCCATGGTGGCCTCAGAGCCTGAAGGCAAGGAGCTGGGCATGGTCTGACAGTGGAGGGGACTCATCACCTGTGGTTTCTTTCCCTTTCCCTGCCTCGACCCCAGGTATGTGAACTGTGCCCGACACTATGAGGAGCAGAACCTGGTGGCCCTCCAGTATCACGGGCAGATCTTCTATAGAACCTGCCAAGTGGTCCGGCCTGGCTGTGAGCTGCTGGTCTGGTACGGGGATGAATATGGTGAAGAACTTGGCATCAAGCGTGAAAGCAGGGGGAAGAGCATGCTCGCAGCCGGGAGAGGTGAGGGCCACCCCTCTTCCAGCACCCCACCCCATCCTGGGGAGCTTACCTTGTCCAATTCTGAAGCATAGTACAAACCAGTTTAAAGTCAGTCAAGTCGCAATTAAATGTGTCAGAATTTGATTCATTTCATATGACTGTTATGAAAAATATTTATATTAAAAATGTTAGTTCTAATTTTCAGTATTTCATGCAAAAAATATGTAACATCACCTTCTGCTGGAAGGCTTAGAAGCTAAAAGCAAGTTTTCTAGCACCTACCAGCTCTCTCCCCTTTACCTGTTTCTTCCTCATTTCCTCCACATTTATAAGTGACATGTGTACAGTAGTTTGTATTCAGTTACTTTTTCAAGTTGTTGTCATGTGAGTTCATACTCTGTGCCAGACAGGGCTTCATGTACTGAAACGGACAGAACCACTGCCTTGGGGCAGCATGGGTTCATACCAGACAGGAGCTGGTGCTCTGAGCAAAACTGGTGCAGGAAAAGTGCCTCGGATTAGCATGAGCAGAGGGTGGGGTGTGGAGGAGAATGATGGAGCAGGATCTCTGCAGAGATAACACCTCTGGGAAAGGATTTCATGCAGGGGAGCAGCCAGTGCTGCAACCCCAGGGCTGGGAAGAGAGAGGCCATGGCAGTAGTCGTAGGAGGAATACAGAGGGAGAGAAAGGAGGCTGGAGAGAACACCAAAGCCTCAGTGCCCGTGTCCATGTGCAGGCCCCAGGGGTGTTCCTGGGTGACACAGAACAACCATGTGGCTTTCAACTGCAAGCAGTATATTCTTTGTGCTAAGATGATGATTCAGTTCATTTTTGGGAAGAGACAGCAGCGGGGAGTCCCCTCAGAGGTCAGTTAGTCACCAGACATGAGGGGAGAGTGGGCTGGCTGAAGATGTATGGGAGTGAGGGTGTGAGGAGTCTGGTTGGAGATGTATATTTAACCAGGGCTTCCTAGTGCATGTTAAATGGACTAAGACTGAATCAAATAAATGAGCCTTCACCCAGCATTCACCCAGCACATGGCCTCTAAGGTGTCTATGACAGACCAGAGTGCCCATGAGCCCACAATCACCCAGCAGACTGCCTCTGAGAGGTCTTTGACAGACCAGAGTAACCACGAGCCTGCATTCCCACAGCAGATGGCCTCTGAGAGGTCTATGATAGACCAAAGCGACCATTATTCTGCATTCACCCAGTGAATGGCCTCTGAGAGGTCTGTGACAGGTAAGAGTGACCACAAGGCTGCAGTCACCCATCTTCTTAATATCCCAGCCTTAAGGAGAGAGTTTACCCAGTGGTTAGTGGTACAAACAGGCATGTACAGCTTTTTAGAGCACATGGCATGCCAGGGGATAATTAAAGTAAGCAGGACACACCTCAGTGATTGGCGTCCTCAAGACAATATCCATCAAAGAAAGACTCCATGGAAAGAGCCACCCATTGAAACCAAGTGGATCGAAGTCATTGAGTCTCCACCCTCAGGAGTGTGGGTCCAGGTGAGTAGGTGACAGACTACCCAGCTCATCTGGATGGTAGCCCAGTGGCATCCCTACTGCCCAGAAGAAGTTTGGTCCAAGTCTAAGAACTTCACAGGGGGCTACCAAATCACTTCATGTGTGGGACCTCAGGTAATGTCCCTGATTTATGGCTGGGGAGTCTGAAGAGGGGGTGCACTCAGAGTTTCTGGTCCCCTCCGGCATTTGTCACTCAGACTCACTGTCCCTGTCTTCCTGGGGACCACCCTCTCTTCCATGTCTGTCACCATCTATCCCATTCCCCCTTCTGAGAAAAGCTGAGATCTGGGTAACAGTGCTAGCAGGACCCATGCATGCAGGATCTCTGTCCCCCAACTCTTTTACAAAGGGCATGTTTCACAAGGTGCTGGTAAGGCTTTCAAGAGCAGAGAATGTTACATGCTGAGAGCCTGGCCTAAGAGCGACCCCTTGTCCCCAGCACAGTCAAGACAAAGTGCTTGGAGCTGAGAGGAAAGGGAGAGTGAGGGCCAGGCTCCAGAGAACTCAGGGGCTAGACCCCGGCCCTCCTCCTTCTCTTGGTTTCAGCCCTCCCAACAATCAGATGTGGGTTATGTAAGATCTCCTGAGAGCCACATGCACCCAGTTCATGGCTCTAATTCTGTGCAAGGACATATGGGGGTTCTCAGAGCACCAGCAAGTGGCCAATGGGCAGGGAATCCCAGAAGATTTAGTCACCACAGAGTGAGGGCCCATGACAGCACTGCCTTAACCTGGGGCTCCAAGACCCAGGGCTCTTGTCTGAGTCACACTTGTGCGGTGTCTGCTGTCTGCAGGCTGCACTGCATCTATGTCCCCACAGGCCAAGCTCTGACAGAGCTGTGAGCTTGGCCGGGGAGCTGGGGATGCTCAGTACAGAACAGACGGTACCAAGGTCAGAGCACTGCACAGGAAGTCTCTGTGAGTGGTTGATAAAGGCCAGAGCCCCACCTGCCCCTGCTTGGAGGACATGGATGTTCACCTGAGAGACCAGAGAGGACCCCAAACCTCTGACAATGGCCCCAGAGGCCAAGCTAGCAGCACACTGCCAGAACAAGGGTCGCCCAGGACACCAGGCAGGATGTGCACTGGGAAGTGGCAGCAGAGACTCCAGCCACAGGCAGGCCTAGTGACCCTGGGCGGGCACAGATGGCCTCAGACTGGGTCAGCACACAGACAAGATCAGGGGGCTCCTGGGTGAGGGAAGGGTGGGGTCTCCCAGCACCTTGCAGACCTGGGCCAGCTTGTACTACAGGTCCTTTATGGTGCAGTTCTTCTACTCCAGAATGACTGAGAAGAGGAAGGTGTCAGGGAAGTGTGGCCTGGCTCCACCACAGGGACATCCACACAGGAGGGACTGCCATATGAAGGCTTTGGAGAGAGACCCTGGTGTGTGTCCACCCCCAGACCCCGAGGGGACCTAGCCTCGGGGCTGGCTGCCTAAGGTCACCTAGCTGGCCAGGACCCCAGAGCCAGGCCTGACCACACCAGAGACCCCTGTCCACATCACCCACTCTTTCCGTGACATCTCCCAGGTCAGAGGGCAGAGAGGCGAGGTCTGGCTCCAGGCAGGGTCTCTGCCAAGTGTGGTCCGGCCTTCCAGCTCCTGGGCACCGAGGCCTCGTCTGTCCCTTCCCGGCAGTGCCCAGTGACCGAGACAGCCCAGCCCAGGGGAATGCCACACACCACCACGGACACACCAGGGAACAGATGCTCAGCCTGTGACCAGAAGTGCCTCCCAAGGAAGCCTTCCCAGCACCCACCACACAGGCCACTGTGGGCCTTCCTCTCCTGCTGTGGCCTCTTCCAGGTCATCTTAGTGTCCAGGCAGACAGCGGCTGTGGCCTTGGCTAAGAGGCCAAGCTGCAGTGGGCAATGGACTCAGGCTAGGAGGGCTGGAAGGCCAGGGAGGGGCTGGGGAGACCTTGAAGACACTGGAGCCAGGAGACCACGGCACACACAGCTCTGGTTGCTCTGGCCAGGAAACCACGACTGCCCCTCCCCAAGGCTGACTGAAGGTCTGAACTACAGGGATGGAGCCCCAACTGCAGCCCTCAAGGCCTACCTCCAGCTTGTGGGACATGAGTGTCAGGACTGAGGGGTCCAGGTTGGAGGCCGCCAGCACCTTGCTGAACTGCACCTCCTCTGAAAGGGCAGTGGCCCGTGCCTGGATCTTGAGCTCC